GAAAAAGAATTAGTCTTTCTTTTTCAACATACTTCAATGACCGTGGGATAAACTTCTTTTAATATTTTCATGTTGTGCATTACGAACAATAAATAATTAATGTTATCTGAATCTAAACGTGTTCGACGATCAGTTACAGTGTTCCCACTATCAGAAAATAGGCGTTCAATTGTTGTATTGGTGGCTGGTATTGCTAAAATTCGTTTAGCAACTCGAGCTAGATTTGGATATAATGATTTATTTAAATCCCAATATGTTAAAATATTCATTTTGTTGTCAATTTTTGTTTCGTCCTCTAAATAACGATCAAGTTCTGTTTTTTCTATTATTTGTTGAATATCATTTTCGTCATTAGGTACATCAAAAATTTCATCTAATGAATTTGTTAAATGCATTGTTTTTTTCTCTTTATTACTTGTCTTTGATAATTGCATCGGCTGCATGACAACTGGATCAACAAATTTATCAAGTTCCAATTTTAATGATGTAATAGCATGTTTCTTTTTGTCTGGTACAAGTTGAAAACTCTTTAAATTGGGATGCAGTAACATTGCAACATAATGTATATTATGAATGCACCAATAATCCTGTAGATGCTTCGATATAAAACGTTTTAATTGTACTAGGTCATAATGATCATCATCATTTTCATTCGACCGATTAATTAATAACTGCTTGTAAGGAATCACCAAATGAATTGTTGGTGTATTTTCACAACTAAGTTTTTCAATAACATCATGAAAATGTTTTAAATATTTTGTTAATTGTTCCAATTGAACGTAACTGACTTTCAAATAATTTTGTCTTTGATTATCATTCAAAACACTTGGTAATTCATTGTAAACCATAAGAAATGTGTTTAGCATTATATATATACTACTAAAACGTGTTTTACAATAATTCTGAACACATACTGATAAAGATTATTGTTTGTGACTTTGACGAATATGAGAGATTATATCTCGAACAATTGAAAATAGTAATTGAACATCTATACAAAGAGATTCTTCTAATTCAAATGCATGTTGAATAACCTTGTTGATGTAATAAGTGCTGCAACCGACTCTCATAACGCCTTCCTTGAATGCAGAAAGCATCTTCGGCTCGTTATCTGACACAATGAATATATCTTCATTTATTATAAGACCAAAGTCTTCGACTATTTTATTAACAAATTCACGAATGTTAAATGCTTTTTGATTTGGAAGATCATAAAGTTTGCAAGCCAATATAAACATTCGTAATTTATAATTAACATCTACGAAATGAAGACTAACACCACCATAATGTAAACCTATATTTAAAAAAAACAGAGTTTTGTAACCGCTAAAACTAGAATATTTAAGTAATGTTAAAGTTTTAAAAATGACTAAATCTTCTGTTTCGAGAACCATAAATTATGTATATATATGAAATGATTGAGTTTTTAAATTGAAACTCAATAATTTGGAAAATTAATTATAAAAATATTTATGTCATTAAATTTTTTAAATTTAGAATTTATGCAAACTGATAGTTCTACTCAATTCCTTGTCAGAAGTGCATGAGTACACGTACCAGTAAAACCTTCTGTCCAAAAATCACAAGTAATTGCAAAATTGTCGACCTTTTCACATAGAGTAACCAGTTGATCCTTTAACTTATTATAAATACGTTGTACATTACATGAAATCTAAGAAAGAGAAACACATATATCAGGAATAAAAACTTTAGTATTTACAGTGGTCGGGTGTGGTAATAAATCATTGAGAGAAAATCCTGTATCGATAAGAGCACCTGCATTCATAAGTTGCTTTGCTAAATTCATCAAACCTTCACTAGCTATTGTTTCAAATGGTTTGTTATCACGAGCACAAAACTCTACGCATGACTCAACAATATGATCTTTAATTGTTGAATAATTTTCTTGTGCCGGAGGCATATAAGAGGATATTGTACGTTGACGTGAAGGTGTTGTTGATGGTTTTGGTATCAGTTTCTTTGTGCAGCTATGATTCTTCATCACTTTTGTGCCTGTTTTACTTGTCCATTTTAATACATTACGACAATCATTGCACACAATGTAGTTTTGTGCAACACCTGAATAGTACAATTGAGAAAAATTGGACCATAAATTAGATCGTGCATTAGCTGGTTTGCTAAGTGAAATGGACGAGTCATTCGATAAAATCAATTTCTGAAAATCATGCTTAGAAAATTCTTTACGAACAGTTGATGACATTGTAATTGCAATACTAAGGAGACATACAGCGTTTTATCTGAGAAAGACACAGCGTCGCCAGGCTTCTCAATTTATTTTTCCTTTACTTCTTTTATGCTCTAATCATTCTCTGATGCGTCCATTTGTCTACCAATCATCTGAATGCATACTTTTTTCCTATTGATTATATAGCAAAGCTGAGTTTTCTTAACCCATATAATGGTATCTTTATATTGCTTTCAATTACCGGAACAAACGGGATTTTTCGGAACATTTAGAAAAAAAATCATACGGGGCATTCGGGATTAGGGACAAGAAAAGTTTGTCCCGCAGGACTCTAATCGTAGAGCTAATGTTTGTTCTTGCATAACTGTTAATATACCAATAGGACTTTTCGTTATCTGTTAAATCATCTTATAATCGACACTGAGTAGTGTGTTTTCGTCCAGAAACAAGAATATATGAAACTTATGTCTATTTCTTTGACGTAATATTATCGAAAAATTGTTCTACTTGAACTATTGATTAATCGAATTTATATAACATTATTTCAATCGAGTGATAGCTTCCGTTTTCGTCCGATTTTGTCATCTTTGTGAAAGAGGAGGAAATAACCAGTCGAGATTTCTATGAAATATACGATGAAGATGCAAAATGTAACTCATATCTATCTTTACTGAATATATGAACCGATCAGGTATGGATTGGTAAACTGTTAAAGCTCCGATCGTAGGTCTACCTGTCAAATTTGATTGTCGCAAAGCAGTAGCATGCCAGGTTAAGCGAAAGCATGGTTTTTGGACATCTCTATAAGATAGCAATACCGATAAATTACATTAAAAGCCATTTCTATCGAGGCAATTGATCTTATCAAACACATATGTATAGAATTTAAAACATGGAAATGGACAGCTGAGGTGAGTGCGTTACCATTTTTTCATCAGAAAAAAGAAAGTAAGTAGAAACCAACTTAGTCATTTGATAGTTCGTCGAAAGTTGGCGGAAGTTCCTAAGTATCAATTTAAATGTTCGTATGCTTGCGGCGTGAACTAAACTAGAAGCCCTATTTGGTAACGCACTCACTCCAAATTTTATGAAGTTTTCAAATGCTCCCAATTTTTTTCTATTACTCATGAAGCAGCTGAAAATTATATCAGAAGAAAATCCAAACGTCGCATCTGCAGAATATATATGGCACTTCAATTTTTAGTTATGCTTCTATCCTTTTATCAATACTTTCTACCAAAGCACGAAAACATATAGAAATTTCAAGAAGTGTACACGTCTTGTCTGTCATACAGCTTTTCTCTCCCTTATGAGATGAAACAAAAACAACTACATTTTCTGACAGAGCAACGTGTTCTCTACAACGTGACATAATCAGTTTTCAGAAATATATAGATTCCACTTTAATCACTCTGGTTGACCGTTAGCCGGACAAGCCGTATAGTTAGTTTCAAATAACGATCTTTTTGTGAATTTTCAGAAATCGAAATGGAAGGACAATGCGTCCAAATTTTGAATTTATTTCAATATCATTCATTTTCAGAAAATCAAATAAGATTATGTTTAGAAAGACATTTTTCCATTTCGAAAAATAACTATACCAGATATAGGAAGTAGATTAGAAAGGAAAAAACTTAATTACGTAATATTTTCATGAAAAAATCATAATATTCTGAAAAACTTGATGTGATCAAAATATGAATGAATCTGAAGCAAATCAAGAGAAATAAAAGAATGTTCAGTCATCTTGTGAATCATTTGAAAATGATGATATTGTCATCCACGAAAAGGAAAATATTTTTTGGTGGAT